TTATTATACAGGATACATGTGCTAAGGATTCTCATAATTGGCAATCATTATTGCCAATCTGTCTGTACTGGGTCATTATTAGAAGTCATACTGCAGATCCAGAAACATGAAGAGTGGCAAATGGTTTAGAAGGCAGGGTGTTCACTGAAATGATGGTCATTTTGAGAGTTCTTCCCTATGGCTTGGGCTCCACGGCCCAGAAGCCACTGATTTTCCCTTTAAATCCAGCATCTCTTTTCTCTCCAGCAAAACCAGCCCGATACACGTGTAGGTTTCATGCTGGCAGGGAGGGTCAGCTTTGCCCATACATAATCACTGTTTTATGGCTTTCACTCATTCCTGAGGTGTTAATGCAGATCAAATGGGAAACACTCAGACAGAACCCTTGCAGCTACCGTATTGCCTAGCTCTCCCCTCTCAATCGTTAATTCTTATTGTAAGACCTAAAGGTAATTTTGTTTGCTCTCTTAATGCCTTGCAGATCTCCCAGTGGCCCTTGCATATCCTTTCTCAAATTCCCATCTTGATCAATTGTTTGCAAATAATTAAGCTTTTAAGAGATGATGGCATGAGGCTAATGTACACAACAAAAGGAGGTCTCCCTCACTGTCTATTGGACTGCTTTTGACTGTTGGTCAAATTTACTTTGATATCCCAAAGTAATTAGGTTGATTGGTATATCAGGCAAGTGCAGTAAGTCTTCCCTTCTCAAGAACCTACTGATCTTTCCTAAACTAGTGTCCTTGTCATTGAGGTGCAATAAAACAAAGGTGTTCAAGACAATGACAAGGGCTGACTAAGGCCCTTAGTTGCAAAGGTTTGGAATGAGTTTCTCATTTTCTTCTCAAAATGAGAAAATGATCACTCTTTATCTCTTGCAAAATGACATCTACTTTGCCTAGAGAGTGGCCTTACTAACCCTGTGGGTGGAACGCAACAGGGCTTTGAATGTTTTTACAGCAGCCTTGCCTGTGGCATGTTGGGTTTTTGTCAAATCATTAAAAAAAAGAAAATCAATGAAGAGGTAACTCACACTGTCCACAAAAAACTTATCTATTAAAGATGCTTTGGATTTAAGCTACTTAAACCTACTGAGTTTTAGTTTCAAAATCAACTTCGTTATGAATTTTTAACTGATTTTGGGTTAGCTACATGAAGTCACAGGTTTCATATGATGTTGGCAATTATAGATTTTTTTTTAAAAGGAATTGAGAGTTCATGGGACACTAAGTTCAAGAACTATAAGAAAAAGAAAAACACTCAATTTGACTACCCATAGACAAGGGTTTAGGAATTTTGTTGATACTTTCCCCTCTTCTTAACAATGGTCAAATTATTGTGACATTTAATTTTGTCCAGGTTCATTCATTTCTATATGAAAAAATATATCCTGAACAACTGAAAAGTGTTTAATGGATGCAGTGCTGGGTCTCCATAGCTTGAGGCTGCCTAGCAATTATACTGCATGAAATTAGACACAGTTTGTTCCAATTACTTAAAATCAGATCACATGAAAAGTGACAGGGAAGAAAAGGATAGACTTTTCTTACTTCATGATATTTAAACTATAAAATCAGAAACTACATGATATGAAGAAACAACTGAAATTTATACTGAAATTTTGACTGCTCTTTGACACTGTAATGACTCAGGTCATTTTAATGAGTCAAAGAGAATTTTCCCAGTACCATTTGCATAAATAAAATGTAAATTCTATTTGCTTTATAAGAATGTATATAAAACATGGTCACAAACAGGCATGCCAACATACTCTTCAAAAACACAGGACAAATAAATTACTACGATAATTCTCAATTTTCAAAGTAACTAAAGGTAAATGGCATAAATATTAATTTTTATCCAGTTCTGGTCATAACATCAAGACACACTAATAGTGCAAAAGGTGTTGGCTGTGTAACTTTACTGAAGAGAGACTGTTGACATGTTTATTAATTCCACTGAAAAATCACTGAATAAGATTTCCACAGGACCTGGAAAACTATAAGCACATAGTATTACAAAAAATGTTATAAATTGGAAATTACTTGCATGTATATCTACAACTTTATATGGAAAAGTATGTAAAATGTTACATTAATACTTTTAGACTGATTTTGATTGTTCTGAAATCATAATATTTTACTCTATTGGGTTAAATATATTCTTAAAGATAATTTCACTTATCTCTTCATTTTCAATTTGGCTACTTAAAAATTCAAAATTATGTATATGGCTTGTATTTGTGGATCAATTACTGGATGTTAAAACTTGCATGTTTCAAAGTCCAGTTTATAATTATTATTAGACTTCAGGGTTTTTCTTGTTTTTTGTTTTTAGTGGGACTGTAGTTTGAAGTCAGGAGTTTGTGCTTGCAAAGCAGATGCTCTAGCACTTGAGCTACACCTCCAGTCCTATTATTGGGTAATACTGTAAGAATTGCTAAGGTGACACCTTTAACTTCAATGGATCTTAGGACTGCAGATGACAAAATTGAGTGTTAGAAAAGTTCCTATTCAAAGTTGCATAGTTAAGTGACAACATAATTTATATAATCTAATAAGGCCACTTATATACTATTCTTCAGTAGCATAGACATAGAGCTACTATATATCAAATTATAATTAATTCAGTGTTCTGTTCATAGGACAAACGATTCATTTGCTTTGAGTTGTACAGTAAACTTTTATGTAGTAGGAGTTACATTTTAAACTTCAGAGTAATGGGTTTTGCTTTTAGCTCAGTAACCCATCGTGAGATTTTGGATTATGGTGACCAATTTTAGTTGAGTATGATCTTACCTATTTTGAGGCTTGTATAGTTTTATTTGAGAAGAGTGGGTCAACATCACTTTTAGAAATGAAGCAAAGAAAGTAGAGTCATAATTTATACTTTCTGTGGGCTTTGAAAAACACTATATTAACCACTTTAGGGTTGCATTTGATTAGAAAGTATCGTCTATGGCCATACCACCCTGAACGTGCCCGATCTCCTCCTCGGATTAGAAAGTATCTATCTGTCTTGGTAAACTATAACTATTTTCTTTGTTCCACAAATATTTACTGATTTCCTGTTACATGCTAGTCTGGGCTTTGGAGATAGCAAGTGAGGATGGCAAGGGGTTTAGATTTGGTAGATTGGTGGGAAGAGACAGCCCAACAAGGAAACAAACATTTAAAAGAAGTCTTTGCACAGACTGATGATTCCATTTTAGGGAAATTAGGAAAAGATTGATGTGATTGAAGATTCGTTCAAACCAAATGAATCTCTTGTCCTATGAACAGGGGTGGTGGTGAGGAGAGAGGAAAGTTTGACTGTTGAGCTGAGCACTGAAAGTGACAGTGGAACAGGAGTCTGAGTGACAGGAAGAAACTTGACATGTCAGAAGAACAGAAAGAAGGATTGCGTGGTTAGAAAAGGGGAGAGATAGGGTAAGAAATCTGAGAGGTAAGCAAGGCTGCACAGTGACTTGCTGGTCCTGCAGGCCAGGTAAGCATCCTGGTGGTTTTGAAAAGAGCCATTAGGCATTTGTCACATCTTGCAGTCCTAAGTGAGGCTTAGACTCTGGAAAGGAAGGAGAAAGTACCACTGACCCCTGTCTACTGCTGGCCATCCTCCCCTGACCAGTTTCTTCACATCTAAAACAAGAGGGATGATAGATTCCATTTATGTCACTCAAAGGGATATAATGGGGATTAATTACCATCCTGTCTGTAATATACTCGGAGCTCTTTAGAGAAAGGCACTGTATTCCATGAAAGCAAAGCCTTATTCTAATTGTGTATTTATTGATTAAATGACAATCAAAGACAATGCTTATGGGAAAAATTGCTATATCTCTGCTTTCCACAAATGTATCCCACATGTATAGATATAGAACATATTTAAACTTACATATAAGAGCACTGAAGTGGTCATTAGTCTTTTTAGCATCTAATCAAACATTATTAATGAGATTAAAAGCTATGCTAATTAGCATTCAATAGACCAAGATTTAGTTTCAATGGCACAGATAGTTAAATTGAGGGTTAGGGGTGCCCTTTCCCATTCATAATAGAATAGAGGGTTGACTCTCAGAACAATTTTATCTTGGGATAATTTATAGGGAAGTAACATTTCAAGCCAACCAATGTCTCCATAGATGGAAACCATACTATCAGCTGCTCTCAGTCTTTAGAAATGTGTATTTCAACTTCAGATATACTCGATTATTGAACAAAAAGTTTTCTGCCAAAACTAAGTTCAGTAGAATTCTAAACATTTTTATAAGAATGTATGAATTTAATTTTGTTACTTAATTCTGTAATACTTTTTATCCACTCTAATTCATGAGGAACATAGCCGGGCTTCTTCTTAGCATGTGAAATATTCTGGTCTTTGACCTTATATTGGCCTGTGTTCAGAATCCCAGCATGTGTTGACATTCAGACATGGAAACCAACTTTGGTTAAATTTTGCTTGTTTGTGCTTTGCTGAAGAGCTGAAATGAATAGTGGTTTAAAGAAAAGACACTCACTTAAATTTTAATATTTTTTATCCACAATATGGTGTTTTGGAGGGAAGATGTACTTAAATATTGGGGACCTTAATTGAGATTGTTGGTTAGAATAGTTCTTTAGAGGCCTACAGTTCAATGACTGTTAAATCAGGGTGGTATAGTCGAGGTGGTACAGCACAGCTTGTCCTCATTTTAATCCCATAAAACACAGTGATGATCATACAAAACTTTCTGGACTTGCAACAGATAAACTTGTTAAAGGATAAACTCAGTATCAAGGTTCTGCAAGTATCCTAAGTAGCTATTTATACACTTCACTAATCTTTGTAATTGGCTTGTCTTTTACTGCCATTAATTAGATGATGTAGTATTCCATTAATAAGAGTGACACACCTCAGCATTTTTACTTTTAATTATAGACTCACTAGATACTTAGGTTATTGACAAAATGCCTAAACATTGCCTATTGTACACCTATTTTTTTGTTGTTGTTGTTTTCTTTCAGCACCCTTACCCTTCTGAAGAACAGAAAAAGCAGTTGGCACAGGACACGGGACTCACCATCCTTCAAGTGAACAATTGGTAAGTAATTTGGCTTGGTGTTTACACACAATCTGTTTTCCCCTCTGGCAACCTACAGCTAATGTTTCCCATGGAGTAGCCACGCCCAGTTGCTGCTGCTTTCCCTGGTGGCTTGTTGATCCAAAGGTGAAAACAAACTGTTGACTGATATGAGAGACCTCTTTCTAGTATGGAAAATAAAGCACTGTGTTGCTTTCCACCTCCTTTATAAATCAATAGGTCTTATGCATATAAGTGTATGTTTAATTTACATTCACCATGGCTCTGGAAATGTATCACTCTCCTTGACTTTTCTCCCCTTCAGGATACTTGACAGGGTTAGTGTAATCCTATTTTCTACGAAACAAGAAAATCCATCATCACATATCAGTCAGTTTCAAATTCATCCAATAACTAAATCCACTAGATTTTTAGTTTTGCATTTGAGAATGAACTCTCCTGTTCTCTTATCCCCAGAATATTGACAGGAAAAAATTACTTATGTTTATACTGTGAAGCTACCCCAAACCTGATATATCTCAGAACTGTGCAATACTCTTTCTAAATAAAGTGTAAATTCCTGATTTGGGGCAAAGCTGAGATTATGTACCAAGTGCCAGTCAACAGTATTCTGACTTACTGTACAGCAGTGTGACAACGAGGCTTTGAGAAAGTATAATTTATTGCCCTTTGTGAATGTGCTGAAAGCCAGGTTTCAATAATCACTCAGGGCTGGTGTCATATTTGAAGGGTATTGAAATCCAATATCCTCTAAAACTAAGTGTATCTAATTAATTGTCCTAATATTTTTAGATCAGTGTTTATGATGGAGAAACTTTATCCTCTTTGAAGTGAAAATACAGAAAAGGCCCAAAGCCTGGTTGGAGAAAGGAGAGAACTGGGAATGCCAATTTGCAGACAAAAGTATTTCTTTCTGTTCAATAAGTGTCAAAGATTAATATTGCAGAATCTCTGATTACATGGCCTAATCCATTTTGGTGAATAAATTTGTTCTCGATGTCCACTGTACCTACATTAACAGACCCTTCTCTGTTAGAGAGCCTGGGAGCCTTTGGGAGAGATTTCAGATATATTAAACCGCATTACAGAAAATGTAATTTCTGTCAATATAATCCCGTGTATTCTTCAATTTAGTATTTTAAAGATAACAAGCTACTTACAATATATTTGCCTTTGGAGGATTAATTTACAAAGTGCACTATCTGCAAGACACAGACAGACTCACGTAAGCATCGCTTGTAAGGGTTATCAATTTCTGTGACCCTGCTGCAGCCTTGAGAGATCAATTTTTGCAGTCCTTTTAGCTGGCGGATAGGGAACCCACCAAAAGTATACTACATCTAAATGTGGTATTAGGAGTTCTGTTGCTAGGAAGGATTTTTTTTGTTGTTGGTTTTACCTGCTGGTAAAAATCTGTATTGTATTTAATCTTGAAGATTAAATGTGAGATTCATTATATTTTAATCTTCAAGACTGTTAATACTGTGTGTCTGAACTTAGTCTCTGAAAGGTTCTGGATGATATTATAGGGGAGACCATCTTATATTTTAAACTCATATATTTTATTAATTTAAAACTTAAACTCATTTTATGAGTTTAAAACTTAAATAAACCATATATTTTAAAACTTAAATCAGTGGTGAGGCATTCTTTATACAATGGAGGCTGTGCAAATGGTGCATTTCCTGGGAATGTTCTTGTCTGAGGGTAAAGGAGTGGCAGGGAACACTAATTAAGGAACGCTAAAGAGCTGCTGTTCAGGTGCTCTATCGAGCATGCCATCTCTCTTCCTCCTGGTGTTGCTAGCAAACTAGTCATAAACATAGTTACCAGAGAATAAATTCTAATACAAGCTGCTTTCTATGGGCCGATCACGATATTTCCTGTGAATGCAGGGACAGGGAGACATTCCTGTGACATCAGGCCATGTATATAAATGCTGTCATTCCCCTAGATTTAATGCACAATCTTTACTGAAGAGCAGCAGGTGTCAGTCAGTAACCACAATTTGACTTCCTCAGTTTTGTAATTAGGAGGGGGAGAAAAAGATCTTGTAAAAAGTTATAACACTGTAAAATGATTTTTCAAAGTATATGCAAACTTTAAGCTTCATGCTAATATTTAATTAGGTACACATTTATAACTTTAAAATCACTTTTACTTAATTATTGGGCAGAAACACAATTTTGTGCTTACCCGGCACTTTTCTCTCTCCTGGTTCTTTCTGCAGTTAGAAGTGGTTCTTCCTTGCACTTGATTGCTTTGCATTTGGCCTTGTTTACTCTTAACAACTTTGTTTGCTGTAGAAAATGTCCCTAAAGTAACTAAAAGATGTAGGGAGATTGTTTTCCTTAAGTGTATTGAATAATGGAATTCTCATGCTTGATTCAAAATTTTAATGGTCTATTAATTTTTACCTAAACCTTCTCTTTTTAAGAAGCTGGTAATAGATTTACTTTTCTTTAGGCTTTGAGTATGATGCAAATATGATGCAAAAATGAAGACACCCATATGACACCATTTTGAAATCAATGATGTCATAGAATCTTTAACTGTGGCCTATGTGAAGACTAAAATGCAGAGAAACTCTGGAGTGGATTTCTTTTTACTTTATTGAAATAAAAAAATTACATGTAGCTTATTTAAGAGCTTATAAACACTTTTCCCTTACAAAGCATCTGCATTTGCTATTTTTCCTTCTAGAAATAATAATTACAAAATGATCATTAGTGTTTCCCTTCATCTTTAGGATCTGCCCTTTACTTCATCTAGCCACAAGTTTAAAAAATTCTGTGTCTTCCTTCTTGGATTTCTTAAAACTTGTTAACACAAACGTATATTTTTGTATTACTATGAATCATTGTTAAAAAGTTTTCATAAAATGCTGAAGGGCAGGTTGGGTGTAGATCAGTTATAATTATTGGCAGCAACATAATGTATTGAAACACACAGTATGTAAGTGAAAAATATAAACTCATGTCTAGTTGTTAGTTTGTCATAGAAACCCTGGCTAATGCAGCTTTTATCAGGTTTCAATTGAAAAACAAGGCAAGAAGTCTGGAGCATTGTAATGGTTCTTTCACTCCATCACTAAACCCATTTTTAGCTCTTTAATAGACATAAGTGATATAGCCTACCTGCCTTAGCTGACTAAGGCTAAAGAAGATGGGATTTGAGGGGATTAGGGGCAAAAGAGAGAATATTTCAATGTAAAATTAGACAGATTTGATTAATTATGAGACTATTTGGAGTAAAAAGAAAGTAATTGTGATGACTTATGTTTGGCATACTTGTGAGAATAAAAACAGAGAGGAGGAATCTTAAAATGCCTGGCATTAGTACTTGTGGCATTTGGGCCCCGGAATGGAATAGGAAATTTATTAGAGGAGATATTATAGGCTAGATCTATGAAATTTTTTCAGAATTGAGGAAATTATTCAAATAATCTGGGTAAAAATATTTTTATCTAAATTATTTAACTTAGATAACTGCATGTTTCTTTTAAAATCAACTTCCAGAACTAATTTTTCTGCATGTTTAAACCTAATATGTTGTAGACAGACTTTTTAAAATGTAACTAACACTATAAATTTGTGTATTCTTACTTTTTTGCTCCATCACACTCAATTATAATTTTATTTAAAAGTAGTAAATAGTAGTATTTGGAGTTTTTTCTCTTTTCGTTTTTACATTTATGTTGTGGTTGTAACAAATACTTGTGATATATCACAGCAAAAATATTAATATGCTGAGCATTTTTGTTTCTTAAATAGAAATATTTTAAATTTGGGGATTAGATGGTTATTTAGGCCTTTAAATATTTATGTAAAAGCTTTAAAGAAAGTACACATATACACACAGTCAATATTTGGTTCTTTCTTTTTCTCTCCTGAATTGACCAACTTAATTTTTTTATAATGAAAATGTGAGTGTAGAATGGTCAAATAAAAAACTCCCTTATATATTTTCACACCAATGTTGCAGACCTGGGAATTCTCTGTGATGAAAACTTATGCGTTAAGATTGTATCGCTCTTGCTGGATAACTCAAACACAGCCTGCCTCAGCAGAGTTCTAGCCTAGGGTACATGGAATAAATTTTACAGTTCTTTGTTTACTACTGTTCATCCAAACACTTTCTTATTGAGGCCTGACATTAAATGATTATCCCTTTATTCTTTGAGAAGGCAATATGGGTTTTAGGTGCAAAATATGTAGCATATATGAAATATATTGTATGTGTGTAGACAGAAAAATCACTCTCCATTCATAGGACATATAAAAATTCCAGGTAGCATCCTAACATTTGATGTGACACTATTCCAGAACTATTGCGTCTACAGTTCTCAGATTTAGGGTGCCTACAACATTTTCCTAGCTACTTCATTTATTGCATTCAAAACATACAAAGCATTCAGACATCACTTCCCATTTATTACTAGTAGGGAAATAACTATGTTATCCTTAGAGATTTATGCCACTGGCAGGTAAAAATGTAAACTTATTCTTAAAAAATCAGATATCCTTTATTAAACAGATGCAATGGTTAAAGGTCAAGTTTCCGTCTGAGTTCTGGTAATAATGTAGTGAATACTTTTATAAGTAATCAAAGATTCTATAAATATAGGTACTTGTTTAGATGTAAATGTTAAAACATTCACAAATTATCCTTTCAACTTCTGTGATCTAAAAATCAATAGAGGTCATAGGGTGTCATAGAATTGTTCTGCTTTTTCTTCCAACATAATTTAATAATACATTTTACAGATGTTGTTTAAACATTAGGCACAGATTGTTTTGTCAATAAAGCTAAACAGAGGCATGACACAAAAGCAAGGAAAACAGATGTAAAAAAACCAAAAAAACAAAAAACCACACCAGTGCACACGCCAGAATCAGTGGGTCACCTGTTTGTTGTTCTACTACAAAATGAAAGTGTGGGCTGTGTAGTGATTTTTCTTGCCTAGAAATCACCCAGGGATGGAACAACTTCACACACAA